GTATTTGATCTAAAAATATAAATGGAAAAGTGTAAAACAATATTTTATTCTAAACATTTTGGTAAAATTGAATAAAACTATTTCTGGAGGATTTCCATAATGAGATTATCCTAAACTGGGAAATATTTAAATATTTAACAAACGCTTCAAGTTAAACAGAAACTATAGTGGAAATACAGGGTTACCCACAAAATATTAGACTGTAAAGACGACCCAAAAATCTAAGAACATGACAATTTGACGCGTGATTTTGGTTTTCTGTCTTCAATTTGGTATTTAAATGGTTTAGGATATAGTCAAGAAAAGAAAGAATTGGCATGCAGGGAACCATGATTGTAAGAAAAGGACTAAACATATTCCGTACAGTCGTCTCTGAAGTCTCATACTTTTTAGGTAACCCTGTAAAGTAAACAATTTACATTTTTATTCAATCTAAAAATATTAGTAGTTGTGGCCGCGCTTGAATTGTTGTGTTAACAATTTTAAAGGGACTCTCTACAAAATTGACTTTCCATTTATAAAGTAGAATGTCCGATAACAATAATATTTTCAGACGAAGGTTCACAAGGTACCATTGTGAATTACGGCAACAGTTCCTTTAAAGAACAAAATTTACTGAACTAGTTTTGAATGAAAGGAAAAACACCTTTAATAAGAAGGAATCCTAGATAAAGTTGAAAAAGTGCAGATGTTCAAATATCTTACGTCTTCTTGGAAAATATATCGACATTTAATTAAGTTCAGAACTATGAATTTAAAACAGCTTTCATTACATGGGTGGATACAGGGGGGCAGGACCTTTGCACCCCCCTGAGATTTCAGAATAGGTTCTCAAAAGCACTTAAGAGAAAGAAAACCCAGTGCAAAACAGAAAAAAATATCTATCTAAAAAAATGTTCGCCTGCAATGTAACGTGTTTTTTGGTTCCTAAATCTGGATTTTTTTGTTCCCAAATAAATCTAGCACCCCCCTCACTTAAATTCTGTATCCGCCCCTGGCTTTCAACAATTCCAGAATTTTTTTTTCAGATTTCAATTTATTTTCAAAAAATCAATATTTTTTAAGAGACAAAAAGGGATTAATAAAATTTAGGAAAGCTAAAAGGTCTTGTTTTTAGATTGCTATCTAAGATTTAACGACGAACTTTATGAGTTGTATCTCATATTTAGTGGTATACTCTGAATACGCTAGCTAAACCAGTTCTTAAAAGCAAAAAATGTAAACTGTCCCGCTTATTTGAGTTTTTTTCATCGTTAAAATATATTTTGGTTTGTAAAATTTGTAAGCAAATATTGTCGAGGATTTTTACTTTTCAGGTTCGCGGAACAGAGGACAAATATTGTCATAGAAGTACATTTTTTAAATTTGTAGTAAAAATCTAATACACATTCGTTTTATGTAATGCATAATTGTACAGGGTACTCATGAAGAAAAGGACTTGAATGACCACCTGAAACTGTTTAAATCTGATAATTAAGTTTACGGCTAAGTTAGTTAATTGCTATACTTTTGTCTATTTAACCCTATCCCATTTGGGCTATTTTTGTCTAATATAGTTTTTTTTTTTTTTTTGGGGGGGGGTTTCCCCCCCCGTTCCCTCCCCCCAACTATATTAGAAACTCAGAATTTAATATCGTCTCATTTTTTTGGATAGCCACCTGATCCATGATACCTTAGAGAATCCTAACTTTAGGAGTAGCATGATACAAATGTTTTTGTATGTCGTCGTTGATAAGCAGAAGAATTATTGAAGCCTTATGTCTTAACCATAGATAAAGATAGATTGCGCATAAGACGACATTTTTCATCTTGAAAGATATAAATGTACAGAGATGTTTTAAAAGTATTCCTATTATATAGATTAACTAGGTCGGTTGTGAACATTGCAGCTGTTCTACTAAAGTTAAAATGATGAAGAAGGTTTACAACATCTCCCAAGAGAGTTCCAACCAAACCAAACATTGTCAATTGGTTGAGAAACCATCCTTTGAAACCTGTTTCAACCTAATCCAGCCACGCCTCTCCACCCCACCCAGAAACATCAACTCCCTCCTCAGTTCCCCTTTTATTTTCCCCTTCTCATCCCTCCCTAGAGAGTTCCGGAGGGGTTAGAAGACAAACACAAACATATCAGAGGATATCCTTGTATTTGTTTTATTTCTGTTTGCTCTAATATCTGGTGGGGTTTCACATCCTGCATATTTTTATATTTTTTCCCTTTTTATGCTTTTAAACATCAATTTTTGAATGATGAACTTATATCTCTTTTGAACCTGTCTCTGGTTCTACTAGAGAACCTGTATCTATAATTCTTTTTGGTCTACTAGAGAACTTACAAAACTCTTTCATGTTTCTGGCTCTACTAGAGAACCTGTATCTTGTGTTTCTGTTTCTGCTAGAAAACCTGTATTTTGTGTTTCTGGTCTGCTGGAGAACCTGTATCTTTAATTTTTCTGGTTTTACTGGAAAATCTGTATCTTTCATGTTTCTGGTTCTATTAGAGAACCTGCATCTTCTGTTTTTATGGTTCTACAAGAGAACCTATATCTCTTGTGTTTCTGGTTCTACCAGAGAACCTGTATCTTGTGTGTTTCTGGTTCTACCAAAGAACCTGTTCTTGTGTGTTTCTGGTCCTACAAGAGAACCTGTATCTTTCCTGTTTCTGGTTCTACTAGAGAACCTGTATCTTGTGTGTGTCTGGTACTGATCGAGAACCTGCATCTTGTGTAATTCTGGTTCTACTAGAGAACTTGTATCTTGTGTGTGTCTGGTTCTACTAGAAAACCTGTATCTCTTGTGTTTCTGGTTCTACTAGAGAACCTGTATCTTGTGTGTTTCTGGTTCTACAAGAGAACCTGTATCTTTCCTGTTTCTGGTTCTACTGGAGAACCTGTATCTTTCCTGTTTCTGGTTCTACTGGAGAACCTGTATATTGTGGGTTTCTGGTTCTAGTTCTGGATCTAGTTCTATCTTGCATGTGTCTGGTACTACAAGAGAACCTGTGTTTTGCAGATAAAGTTTATGCATTGAGTTGAGTCGAACTCCAAGGAGGAATGCTTCTGAATAATTAATATTCTAGTTTTCATCCAAATATTCTTCTTTCTCCAGACACACATTTTCATATTTACAGATCTCATTCTAATGGTTTTACTCTGCATATCATATTTCATTTTAGTTTACGTTTTTCAATTTTAGATGATGCTTCCCATTGATCTTTCAGCTTTAGCTTAATGTAGCTTTGCTAGTTCCCCTAGCTACCTTTATCTTCCATTAATAGCTCTCCTAGTTTATTACAGGTTTATTACAAAAGTAGGCGATTATATCAATACAATGAAGACGAATTTTCATATAAGTTTTGATTGTTAACAAGTTTTTTTCCAATTACAAGTTTACAAGAAATCAAATTTTTAATTGACAGCTTCTCTTGACTTCCATGTCTATGTATATTCATGCTGTATAACAGCTTGATCTTCCAGGTTTACTAGTTCCCCTAACTCCCTTGATCTTCCAGGGTTTACTAGTTCCCCTAGCTCCCTTGATCTTCCAGGGTTTACTAGTTCCCCTAGCTCCCTTGATCTTCCAGGTTTACTAGTTCCCCTAGCTCCCTTGATCTTCCAGGTTTACTAGTTCCCCGAGCTCCCTTGATCTTCCAGGTTTACTAGTCCCCCTAGCTCCCTTGATCTTCCAGGTTTACTAGTTCCCTTAGCTCCCTTGATCTTCCAGGGTTTACTAGTTCCCCTAGCTACCTTGATCTACCAGGTTTACTAGTTCCCCTAGCTCCCTTGATCTTCCAGGTTTACTAGTTCCCCTAGCTCCCTTGATCTTCCAGGTTTACTATTTCCCCTAGCTCCCTTGATCTTCCAGGTTTACTAGTTCCCCTAGCTCCCTTGATCTTCCAGGTTTACTAGTTCCCCTAGCTCCCTTGATCTTCCAGGTTTACTAGTTCCCCTAGCTCCCTTGATCTTCCTGGTTTACTAGTTCCCCTAGCTCCCTTGATCTTCCAGTCATATTAACAGCTTCTCACTGTTTCCTTGTCAAAACAGCATGGATAAACATATAACATGGAGACAAAGAGAAGCTGTCATATTAACAGCTTCTGTTTGTTTCCTTGTCAAAACAGCATGGATAAACATATAACATGGAGACAAAGAGAAGCTGTCATATTAACAGCTTCTGTTTGTTTCCTTTTGAACAGCATGGATAAACATATAACATGGAGACAAAGAGAAGCTGTCATACAGACAGCTTCTGTTTGTTTCCTTGTCAAAACAGCTTGTATGAAATAAAAACTTGATCAGAAAAGTCGTCTTAATTGTATTTATATAAATGCCGACCAGTGAATATTATAAACTGAAATAAAAATTTATTTGGCCTGTTCATGCTTCTCACAATAGTCTTGTATCATGTTAATCAAACTATTCAAGTTTTCAAGTTTTCAAGTTTTCAAGTTTTCCTAAACCTTTATACGTTTTCTGCCCCCCCCCCCCCCTCCCTGGAAAAGATGTAAAGTTCCCCTAGAACCTTCTCCATATCTTTCACCTTCATATCCGGAGATATTTCGGAGATTCAGAACCAGTCCTGCTTTAAGTTGTACCCGGAGCAAGGTTCTGTCTCCAGGTTGGATTTAGATTGTTTCCTCGGGCGGGTTGAAATTCCTTTTAATTTCCTTTTACAGGAGCAGAGAGGATCTTGATATTAAATCCTCCAGAGCTATTTATAAATCTGAATACAAATACAGAAATAATTAAATTTAATCGTGAAAATTATTCTTATTTATGTTAAGCTCATGAGTCATAAACCATTGTATGATAAAATGGTAAATGCTAAATGGTGAACACATTGATTATCATTGTACTTAAAATATGTTCAATCAGGATATATTTTGTTCCGGACTGTCCTAGTTTCTGTTTTTATAAATTAATTAGAACTTGTAACAAGAACCTGACATTGGCCTTCGGACAAATTATTCCAGTTATAAACATATTTAATAACTAATTGATTATTTTTTTTTTAGAATACTGATTTCTATTTTTACAATATATGAGGATGCGTACATAGATCTAGCTGAGTATGTTTATGGAAGAACGGATAAATGTGTAAAATATAATTGAAAGAGGACAAATACCATGAAGATTAGTAATAGAAAATACTTGAGACGGGTTCAACACAAATCCCGAGAATTTATTCTCCTCTCAGGTTTCAGACCTGGAGTTCAATTAGTCTAAAGTAAACCTGTATCCTTCACACTGAGGAATATACTGGGGACAAAGGTTTTTAAACCTGCTACTCCAGCAGAGCAGGTCAGTTTTATACCTGGAGCTGAACCTGCAGCAAAATATAAAACCTAGAGTTAATCCAAATATGTGCTCGGAGTAGAACCTGAATAAAATCGAAATTCATGTTCAAAGTTAATCATGAAGCTAAGTCTGATATTCTTTTATAATTTAACCTGGATGAAATCATGGTTTTTTAACTTGTTTGTGATAAGCACGAAATACATAAATTAATGATGTGTAGGCTTTTATAGAACACATTACATCAATGATCTAAATTTGAAGGTTGACCCTCGGGTTGATGATAACATGGATTCTTCATCCTTCATGTTTCAGGTAGTAATCTTAGTTATTTGATATATCTGGAGCAGGAATTAACATTTTACAGTTATTCTTTTATCTTGGGTTCAGTACTCCTACTTGGAGTATAGTTATCCTTCCTACCTGGAGTACAGTTATTCTTCCTACCTGGAGTATAGTTATCCTTCCTGGAGTATAGTTATCCTTCCTACCTAGGGTATAGTTATCCTTCCTACCTGAACTATAGCTATCCCTATTTCCTAAAGTAAAGTTATCCTTCCTTTATGGATTCTAAATATTCCTAGAGTATGTTGTCCATTGTACCTGGAGTCTAGAAATCCTTCCAACCTGAAGTATAGTTATTCCCTTCTTCCTTGAGTATAATTATCCATTCTAATCCTTCCTACCTGGACTATAGTTATCCTTCCTACCTTGAGTATAGTTATCCTTTCTACTTTGAGTATAGTAATCCTTCCTGTATAAAGTATAGTTATCCTTCCTACCTCGAGTATAGTAATCCTTTCTACCTGTATTATAGCTATCTTTAATAACTGGAGTATAGTAATCCTTCCTACCTTTATTACAGTTATCCTTTCTAACTGGAGTATAGTTATCCTTCCTACCTGGAGTATAGTTATCTTACTACCTGAAGTATAGTTATCCTTTCTACCTGGAGTATAGTTATCCTTCCTATCTGGAGTATAGTTATCTTACTACCTGGAGTATAGTTATCCTTCCTACCTGGAGTATAGTTATCCTTCCTATCTGGAGTATAGTTATCCTTCCTACCTGGAGTACAGTTACCTTCCTACCTGGAGTATATTTATCCCTCATAACTTGAGCATAGTTATCTTACTACCTGGAGCATAGTTATACAGTTTGCTTTAAACAGTCTGTAATTGTACTGTACAGCTTACTCTAGCCAGTTAAAAGTCGGCCCGGTGCTTAAAATCGGAGTTTACAGTGACCTAAAGAACAGTTGTTCTCTATACTTATAGTTATCTATGTATATATATAGTTATCCGCCCTATCAGGAATATGGATATCCTTCCTACCTGGAGTATAGTTATCTATGTATATATATATATAGTTATCCTACCTATAAGGAGAATGGATATCAAAGAGCTCCAGAGAATCACAAGAAATAATTTAATCTAATCATGTTTTTCATCTAGTTTCAAAGAAAATATTTCCAGAAATAGTTTCCAATATTTTCTATTTTTCAGATAATGTTCCCTTTACAACACATGGAGGAACAGCTGAGGAAATCCGAGGAACTCCTTGAAAAGATCTCAGAGAACGCGGAGCTTGATACCAAGAAGAGCACCAAAGAGAGATTGAATAACCTGAGAAAGGAGTCGACTACAACCTTCCCAATTCTGGAGGATTTACCTATTAGAAAGCAGAGCAAAGTTGACATACAGCTGAATAAACCTAAACCTGAACCTATTGAGAAGAATGTTCGAGAAATTGTGACAAAATATGTCAAAAATCCGGTTGTTTATGAGAAGACTGAGGATGGCAGTCACGGGAGCTTGAGGTTTTGTATAACATCAAGTTATGTTGAACAAGTTCTCTGTGAACTCCAGGCTATTGGAGTGGGACGGGTTCCAGGCTCCTCCATGAGCGTTCTCCCGCTTAGTATCCACTACTCACCCTGCACGGAGCAGGTTAAGACTGAATCTCGCGAAAAGCTGGACAAGTTTTACGCCAGTATTAAATCAAGACTGATAGTTGCCGAGGTTGTGGCTCGAATCCGATCCGGAGCACAGTTCACTTTCGACTTTCTTCTTCTACTCCTCCTCGCCAGTGTGATAGCTTTTGTAGGACTAGTAGAGAACTCAAGCGTTGTTCTGGTTGCATCTATGCTAGTTTCTCCTCTCATGGGTCCTATACTCGCCGGTGTATTCGGAGCTGTAATACAGGACAAGAAACTAGCAATGAAGGGAGTTAAACATGAAACACAAGCATTGTTAATCTGTATAGTGGTTGGATTTCTCCTAGGCCTCTGTATATGCCCCGTAGTACAGATGATATCACTACCGGAGTGGCCGACTCCAGAAATGATTTCAAGAGGTGCTCCGCGGTCATTAGTTGTTGGTCTCATGGTTGCAATTCCAAGTGGAGCCGGAGTAGCGTTATCTGTCCTGGGAGGAAATTCAGATTCACTCGTCGGAGTGGCGATATCCGCCTCACTTCTTCCGCCGGCGGTAAACGCCGGGTTCTTCTGGGCCCTGGCGATTGTTCTCTTCATCGGCGGGGAGAACTCTAGAGCAGGGTTCTACGCTATGCCCGGACATAATGAGACAATCCTAACCTATCTTCCGCACTATTCTAGCAATCTTGCTGTAGAATCATTGGTTCTAGGACTAGTTAGTCTAGCTCTTACACTGGTTAATATACTCTGCATCATTGTTACAGGTAGCTGCATCATTAATCATCATTATCTATTATTGATTTAACAACTTCTTTATTATCATTTTCATTATTATCAATTGTCATCATGGTTTTCTTTACTTAAAATATTTCATTCCTATTGTATATTAGTCTCACTATTGATTACCGTTATTTATCAGGTTTTGGAATCCTTCGGCTGAAAGAAGTTACTCCGGAGAAAATTCCTCAGAGGTTTTCAACTTTCTGGAGACAGGACGTGAGAGAACATAGGAACTATTACAGGTAGAGCAGGGACTAGGAGTGGAGAACTTGGAACAAAGGGGGAGTAGGCACCAGGAGCAGAATAGTTGGAACCATTACAGGTGGAGTAGGGACTAGGAGTAGAATAGTTGGAACTATTACAGGTGGAATAGGGACTTGGAGTAGAATAGTTGGAACTATTACAAGTAGAGTAGGCACTAGGAGCAGAATAGTTGGAATATTACAGGTAGAGTAGGCACTAGGAGCAGAATAGTTGGAATATTACAGGTGGAGTAGGGACTAGGAGTAGAATAGTTGGAACTATTACAAGTGTAGTAGGCACTAGGAGCAGAATAGTTGGAATATTACAGGTGGAGTAGGCACTGGGAGCAGAATAGTTGGAATATTACAGGTAGAGTAGGCACTAGGAGCAGAATAGTTGGAATATTACAGGTGGAGTAAGGACTAGGAGCAGAATAGTTTGAACCATTACAGGTGGAGTAGGTACTAGGAGCAGAATAGTTGGAACCATTACAGGTGGAGTAGGGACTAGGAGCAGAATAGTTGGACCCATTACAGGTGGAGTAGGGACTAGGAGCAGAATAGTTGGAACTATTACAGGTGTAGTAGGGACTAGGAGTAGAGAACTTGGAACTAAGGTGGAGTAGGCACTAGGAGCAGAATAGTTGGAACCATTACAGGTGGGTTAGGCACTAGGAGTAGAATAGTTGGAACCATTACAGGTGGAGTAGGGACTAGGAGCAGAATAGTTGGAACTATTACAGTTGGAGTAGGCACTAGGAGCAGAATAGTTGGAACTATTACAGGTGGAGTAGGGACTAGTAGTAGAAAAGTTGGAACTAAGGTGGAGTAGGGACTAAGAACAGAATAGTTGGAACTATTACAGGTGGAGTAGGGACTAGGAGTAGAATAGTTGGAACTGTTACAAGTGGAGTAGGGACTAGGAGCAGAATAGTTGGAACTATTACAGGTGGAGTAGGGACTAGGAGAAGAATAGTTGGAACTATTACAGGTGGAGTAGGGACTAGGAGTAGAAGTGTTGTAACTAAGGTAGAGTAGGGACTAGGAGTAGAAGTGTTGTAACTAGGGTGGAGTAGAGACTAGGAGTAGAGCAGTTAGAACTACCGCTGTTGGTTCTTTTAATCGAGATTTTAATGTATTTAGTAATCTTTGTTGTTTTAGAACCCTAGGGGGAGGAAAACAGCCGTGTGAACTCCAGGATAGAACAGGAAAGAAAAAAATTAAAATCTAAAAACTTTTTTTAATGACGGGAGTTTTGACGGTTTTATGATGTAGGAGATGGTTTGGATGGGACGTTTCTCCAGTCTGTGTTTGATATGCATATGACAGGGAGTAGAGAGGAAGATATATTTAATATCAGACAATGGATGTCCAGGTATAAATTGTTCTAGCCACAGTTTGATTTTTCACCATGATCAGTATTTAATTTGCTTTTAATCCTGTGACGTGAATTATTTCATAACACTCGTCTCAAATTTTTAGTGTCTACTGTCTAATCCTAATATCTTTGCATCTTGATTCATGATGTCCTAAACCTTTTATATTTAAAACAATGATTTCTCAATTATTCATTGTTTGAAATATTGAAAATCTACAAAATCTGAGGCCGAATTTAAAGAATTTGAGCCTCGGCTAAAATATGGTTGGTTCCACTTAAAATTGTATTAAATTTTTCAAGATTTAAGCCGGCGCTCAATTGAAACCGGTTTTGCGGCTTAAATTCATTAATTCGGACACAGTTCGTAAAAATTTAAGTATGAGGCAAATGATTGGTTTCTTTAGGAAATCGAGGCGTAGAAATACGATTTTTAAAATATCCAATTACATATACAATAAATATGTTATTGTTTTAGGGTAGACAACCTTAAGTCAAGAATACTCTTTCAAAATAAGCCCTATACCTTTATAAGACCTCTCTCCCTTATGAACCGGTTTGCCTAGGTTGGATTAAACCGGTTTGTCTAGGTTGGATTAAACCGGTTTGTCTAGGATGGATTAAACCGGTTTGTTTAGGTTGGTCAGTTGGATCAAACCGGTTTGTCAAGGTTAGATCAAACCGGTTTTTTCAGGTTGGATCAAACCGGGTTGTCCAGGTTGGATTAAACCGATTTGTTTAGGTTGGATTAAACCGGTTTGTCTAGGTTGGATCAAACCGGTTTGTCTAGATTGGATCAAACCGGTTTGTCTTGGTTGGATTAAACCGGTTTGTCCAGGTTGAATTAAACCGGTTTATTTAGGTTGGATTAAACCGGTTTGTCTAGGTTGGATCAAACCGGTTTGTCTATGTTGGTTAAAACCGGTTTGTCTAGGTTGGATTAAACCGGTCTGTTTAGGTTGGATTAAACTGGTTTGTCTAGGTTGGATTAAACCCGTTTGTCTAGGTTGGATGCTCCTGAGAGTCTAGTTCGAGTACCTGGAACACCAATACTGCGCCCCCCGCTAATAATGCGGGGCATTAGCGCAGATCCTTCTTACCTTCACATACCTTCATTTATTCAGAGGGAGATAACTAGATCAAGGCAATTATCATTATATCATTTTTATTACTATTATTATTATTATTATGATTATTATTATTATTATTATTATAATTATCATTATTATTTTAATTATTATTGTTTAGAAGTTTTGAAGATACAGACCAACAAAAAAATAGATTTCTGATGCGAAGTTAAACAGAATAATCAGAAAAGAAGTTTAAAGAGCTGAACAAATACTTATTTTTTACTTTAAATATATTTTTGAAAAATAAGTTATTTTTGAGAGGGTTGGGGGTAAAAACAAATTAATCCCCCCTCTTGCACACAGTCCTGACTAAAAGATTTATTTGTTTGTAAACAAAAGATATAATTAATATTTGCATTCAAACCTCAATATGCAATATGCAATATATAAGATGTGTACATGAAGTGACATAAATCCATATTTGTTTTGGATTAACTAATCAAAACTTAGATGGGGTCGCAGCCTAGATAAGATCAAGAATTATATCAGGTTTCGTAATATCATAGAGTATTCAAATCTATGGAGGGAACACAAAGAGCAACCCAATTTGAAATCCTTATATCTTTTCAATCTGATGGTGCACACCCTTGATAAATTCAAAGTTTAACTGTTTTATATCCGGCAGAATTCACAGCTTGACTTATAAAAGGTTTACGAAATCAGGTTGCAAAAATGTAAGGATTAGAACATTTGAGTTTGAGGCAAGTAATCAATAATTTGTAACCAACAAATCAAAATACAGAAAACAACAAAACCCCGAAAAGACTGAAATACATTTGCCCGATGGTGCATTTAGTGTAAACATTTATATTTGCCCGACTTCGAAGTTACAAAGTCCAATGCTTTAAACTTTTATAATCTCGGCACCTAGGCCTGGTCGAGGAGAGCAACACTTAACGATTTAACATTTATTCACTAAACAATCTGTTTCTAGGATACTCTGATATTTGTAAACAATCTGTTTCTAGGATACTCTGATATTTATAAACAATCTGTTTCTATACTCTGATATTTATAAACAATCTGTTTCTAAGATACTCTGATATTTATAAACAATCTGTTTCTAGGATACTCTGATATTTATAAACAATCTGTTTCTAGGATACTCTGATATTTGCAAACAATCTGTTTCTAGGATACTCTTATATTTGTAAACAATCTGTTTCTAGGATACTCTGATATTTGTAAAAAATCTGTTTCTAGGTTACTCTGATATTTATAAACAATCTGTTTCTAGGATACTCTGATATTTATAAACAATCCCTTTTACGTTCAAATCAGAGATAAGAGAATAGAAATATATTACAGAATAGAATAAACGAAATTTTCCACATCAGGTTTCATTGTGTTCCAATACACGACCAATAAACAGACGTGTGTATTCAGGGATATTTCAAGATCCTTTGGTACGAAATACAAAACCTTCAAAAATAGACTAATTAACAAATTTTAAGTTTTATGTTAAAAATCGTAAAACTTAACACCTGAAAGGATATTGTATGTAACAGAGGCCGTTAGATGGCAGTCAAAAAACCTTTCATGGAATTGTAGCATGGCGTCCCGGGACACTTTGGGCCTGCTTAGCCTATCCAGGTAGAGCTTATGAGTAGCCTGTGTTAGTCTGTGGTTCATGTGATAAAGGTTGTGTGATGACAACAGTTAGTTCTCAATACATCTGAGAAACAGAAAATAGAAAATTAAATTTTTAGACAACCTGGTTTACCTGGACCAAGATTTCTTTTCCAGGAAACAAAACTTCTATATCGTTTTTATTCCTCGCAGCATTTTTTCTTTAAGGACAAGTTTTTTAGTTTCCAAGTTACAATTACATTTATACCGAAAAGCAAAAGAATGTTTCTCGCCATGTTTGTTTATTTTTTAATTGATCAACTCTTGAAAATTACAATTCGTCCTTAATTCCCATGATTATTTAGACAACCTTCTTAACACCCTCCTCTTTCCACTCTTATCTCCTCCAGCCTTCTTCCCCCCTAACGTTTTTATCCATGATATTGGTATATAGCTGTGAAAAGGATTTCTAAGTAGGATATTACTGGTTATTGATATCCTTGTTTAATCTAGCAGAAAACTTTATAGGACTTCTTCTAAACCATTCTATACAGGATATATAGAACGATTCAGGGATATAGAGAAGCACAGAGTAGAAGGGGTGGAGATAGGACTTCTTCTAAACCATTCTATACAGGATATATAGGACGGATCAGGGGAATAGAGGAGCACAGAGCTGAGGGGTGGAGATAGGACTTCTCCTAAACCATTTTATACAGGATATATAGGACGGATCAGGGGAATAGAGAAGCACAGAGCTGAGGGGTGGAGATAGGACTTCTCCTAAACCATTCTATAGAGGGTATATAGGACGGATCAGCGGTTTAGAGAAGCACAGAGCTGAGGGGTGGAGATAGGACTTCTTCTAAACCATTCTATACAGGATATATAGGACGGATCAGGGGTATAGAGGAGCACAGAGCTGAGGGGTGGAGATAGGACTTCTGCTAGACCATTCTATACAGGATAGTGAGGACGGATCAGGGGTATGGAGAAGCACGAGTAGAGGGGTAGAGATAGGACTTCTTCTAAACCATTCTATACAGGATATATAGGACGGATCAGGGGTAAAGTGGAGTACAGAGCCAAGGGGTGGATATAGGACTTCTCCTAAACTATTCTATACAGGATAGTGAGGACGGAGCAGGGGTATAGAGGAACACCGAGCTAAGGGGTAGAGATAGGACTTCTTCTACTTGAGAATATATATAGGACTGAGCTTAATACAGGATCTGCAGTATGTGTACAACGGAGAAGGGGTTTAGGGGAGCAGAACAACTTCTCTAAATCCATTCTATGCTGGCGCCATGAGGTGGAAGATGAAGTAATGAGAAAAGATGGAAAGAGAGAAGATTATAGCAGGGATACTAAATGAAGAAAAAATTGAATTGAAGGAAAGAGGAGATGGGATGGTGAAAATAGAGAAGGAAAAATATGATTGGGTGTGGCTGAAAGGGTGGAGAAGGAAAGAGGTTAGAGCGAATATAGAAAGAGAGGGTTGTATCAGGGATTGGTAGAATGAAGAAATCTTGATATGGGTTTTCCATATAATTATAAAGGATATATAAGAAGAATAATGGTAAATGTGAATTTTCAAAATTATCAAAATTAAATGATTTTAACCTCCTCGGATACTAGACGAACACTGATGCATCTATTCTTGTTTACAAATTCCGCCGAGAGAGAACTGGTTTTAATATGTGCGCAGAGTATACACGACCGTAATTAACTTTCCTTGCATTAGTACCTTGGACCTTGCATGCTTTTCCCTATCTCAACCTTTCATCAGAGAATTAACCAATGTGTTTTTAACCGACTTCATTCTTTAAAAACATGCAACAATACAAAGTATTTACAGTTAACAAAAATATAAACGTTTTCAGACAAAAAAAAATCTACCAGGGTTTTATCAATTACTCTTTTTAAACTGTACAGTGTACATATGGCTTGGAATAAGCGCGTTGCGGTTCTAAATTGTACTTGTCCACAGCTATCAAAATAGCATGATTTAGTTGTTAGTAAGGTTGCGGTTCTAAACTGCACATTCAGCTATCAAAATAGCATGATTTAGTTGTTAGTAAGGTTGCGGTTCAAAACTGCACATTCATGATATTTGTAAAAAATCNCAAAATAGCATGATTTAGTTGTTAGTAAGGTTGCGGTTCTAAACTGCACATTCAGCTATCAAAATAGCATGATTTAGTTGTTAGTAAGGTTGCGGTTCTAAATTTCACTTGTCCACAGCTATCAAAATAGCATGATTTAGTTGTTAATAAGGTTGCGACGTTTCTAAGTTTACCCAGTCTTGAAAGCTGATGAAAAATGTTCATAGCTTCCTAGAGTACTGTGATATGTAGATTTTGGTCAAGTTTTTCTGCCCCCCCCCCCTCCTAATATTTTTTTGCAACCTCACGTGATTATACTCTTCCATGTCAGGTTAGATTGAGATAGATATATATGTAGTTCCGCAAGGTTAACAAAAAACTTTAGAAGAGACAATGGGTACACGGCAGTACACGGCAGTACACAATGGTTACACCTCAGTACATGGCAGTACACGGCAGTACACAATGGTTACACGGCAGTACACGGCAACTACATTGAGATTTTACCAAATTTCTCAAAATGTTTGATGAACATGGGTTTTAGATTTATTGCGTAATTTCAACTAACTCTTTATAGTCTTCAAGAACACCAACAATTCAGAGCAGTAAACCTTTAGCTTAAAGAGATAGATTGATAACTTATAATGTATATCTATCAAAAAAATATCAAAGAACCTGTCAAATCTTTCCCTGGGATGTTTAGAAAGATGAAAATTTCCCTGTTTGATAATTGAAGGACTGCAGTATGGTTTTGGTGAATTATATTGACGTACTAAGCCTAGGGGTGTCAGAAATGATTTTTTTTGCATTTTTTTGAAAACGTCAAATAAACCTAAAAAAACACCCTCCATCCTAGTCCTAAACCAAGGGTTGGCAATGTTAGCTTTATTTTATACTAGCTGCACTGCATTGCCCGTGGGGTTTTCTTGAAAAAAAAATCGAATAAGAAACTTGTAACCAAACTAAGAACATTCCTGTGGTTCTGCCAAGTTTCCTAATCACAAATTTAGGAAAACCCGGTCAAGAGAGGTTCGTGAGTTATGCTCGGATCATCGGACATACATACAAACTCGAAAACAGAGACTACTTTATATATATATATATATATATATATATATATATATATATATATATATATATAGAAGATAAGAGATATATCGAATATATATAACTATGTATGGCGCAGTGCGGATGAATATCTCACCAATATTAGTCCTCACTCTAATTAGGAAGGAGAATATCTTTATGGGTTCGTCTCAGTTACCTAGAAGCTTTAAAAATAAAAGCGCAATTTCAGAAATTTTGAAAATTGGTAGAATTTAGAAAACAAAATTGGAAAATGAAGATACAAATATATACTTGCACAATGCCGCAATGTTGACAGTTGACACTTTAAGAAACGAGGGAAAACGACAAAGAATACCAAAATCAAAAGATGGCGGAATCAAGTATCAAGAATTCAATGCAGATTACGATTTATAGTAACCTTGGGAACAAAAATAACAATTCTAATTTAAAAAAATTGAAAATTGACGAAGACGACATATTAAGATAAAATGGCGCTGACCATTGA